CCAAATGTGTCCAAATGCATGCGCCCAGTGATCCAAATGTGTCTACATGCATGCGTCCAGTGATCCAAATGTGTCCAAATGCATGCGTCCAGTGATCCAAATGTGTCCAAATGCATGGGTCCAGTTATGTACCAGACTTTGCATGTATGTGTCCAGTGATGTAGCTGACGTTGCACACATCTGCTCTACATGCCACATGATTGTTCTATGTCTTGTGTTTCAGGCACCCCTGCCAGACAGCTCACCCCAGTCCCATGCTTCCCTGCAGACTGCACTTTACTTACAGTGGAGCTAAATGTTGATTTTAAAAAAAATGCTGGCAAGAAAACTTTGTATGTCCCTTACTGCAATTAAGGCCTCATTCACACGAGGTGAGTTGCCCCGCACTGCGTTAAAGTCCATTGTTTGAAGCACCTGGGAGAGAAGAAGCATGTGGGCAGCTCATGTAAATCTATGGAGACGCAGGAGCTGTGTCCCCTTACATGCTGCAGGGAGCACTGTGACAGCTGGCCGGCTCAGAGCTTCGGGTGAGTATAACTTTGTTATTTTTTGAACCTAGACAAAAATGAACACTTAACCCTTGCAGTGCAGGGGTAGCCCCACTGCAAGGGTTAAGAAAAAGTTTTCCTGGAGTTCTTCTTTAATACCTCTGATCTGCAACATTATCTGGCCATACACAGCTAATCAGTTGATTCCACTGACAGCTATTGTAATAAAGCCGCCGCGGCACCCATCCACAGCTTGACTTTCAACTGATTCAGCAGCACTCAACCAAAAATAGAGCCACTTATAGCCAGCAATAAAGTGTATCTAGCATTCCCTTGCCCCCCGTGCTAGAAGTAGATATATGCAAATAAAAGTAAGGTTTAATTGTACTTTTTCTCCTGCTCGATCCTGCCAGTAACACAATTCCTGCCCCAGGCTGAGACACACTCAGGGTTAGTTCACACCATATGCAGTGCGTTCCGGTCCGATTCTGGCCGGAACGAACTGCATCGCATTGCGGCCGGATCACTTTTTTGTGGGGCAGGAGGGGGCGTGGCTGGCCATTGAAGTGAATGGCACCGTAGCCACGCCCCTCGGCCGCAATGTGATCGCCCGCACGGGATCGCAAGGCACATTTTGTCCCGTGAGGTGCTATCAAAATAGTGCTTGCACATTGTGATCACGTGCAGGCGAACGCATTGCGGCCCCCTCCTGCCCCACAAAAAAGTGAGCCGGCCGCGATGCAGTGCGTTCCGGCCAGAATCGGAACGCACTGCATATGGTGTGAACTAACCCTTACTGTAGTGTATCTATGCAGGGGCTGCATGGTCACCCTTGGATAGGGCTAACGAACACCACCCACTTTGCTCATCTCCATAACATAGGGAGGGGTTCTATAACTGGGAGGGATGCTAAATGATCACAGTCAGCACAGGCAGAGAGCACGGAGAGTTATCAGCTCATAAGATTTCTGGTAGGATGAACAGGTATTTTCTTTTCCGCTTATCAAACAGATTTTAAAAAAAACAACACTTGCAATGGTAAACTTAACAGACCAAAGGGGTCTAAATAAGAAAGTGGATGGTGAGGGTTTACATACACTTTATACACCAGGGCGGAACTACTATAATTGTTTTACTGCAGTCCTGAATTGATAATGTGCTAGAGGAACAAGTATAATAAAATCATGGGTGGAGGACAGAATGTCAATACACAGCAATGATAGATACATCTCTTTTATCTTCTTTACATAAACATGCAAATACAAGAAATGATAACATCCTCCAGAGATCAGTGTCATAGTTTTTCCTTTTTTGACATTTGTGAAACTTTTTTAAAAAATCTTACATTGTGATCACATACCAAGGTGGTCATCTAGCCCATTTACTGTATGTTTGCCTAGGGTGGTCTGCATGCACATGCAGCCTGTTTAGGAACACTCACTTCTTCAGACTGACACCCAGGGGCATTTTCCATATTTGCATAACTGTCCTTTAAAAAAACAAAAAACGACTTGCCCAAGGGCTAAAGCGGGGGCCCAATCTACTTGTCCCGATACAAAAAAATAGTTTTAATCAAAACCATATTTAACCGTGTTAAATAGCGCTTCTCATTGGTCAGCGTGACTACGCTGACCAACGAGTGCTCGCAATTTGCGAGTGAAATTCAAAATGCATAGCGCAGGGCTTGACAGCAGTACGGATAATACACCCCTACCGGCAGAGGGAAAGGGGAATGTTTGCCAAAAGGCAAGTATAGTGGTGGTGGCTGGGGGAGGGGAGGGGCTGCTGGACAGATAATTCCCAAATAACCTGGGAAAGTGCACTCACCCTTTAATGTACGTTTGTACATTGGGTGTGTTATAGAGAGCACTGCTGCCTGGCTACCACACAGTTGAATTATTTATTTTTCACTTAATTTTATTCCCATCACATCGGGGCTTACAAGCCCCCTAGGTCAGGGGTGCCCACAATTTTTGTGTTAAGATCTACTTTTCAAATGATGAGCTACATGAGATCTACCAATGAAAAAAAAACCTCCCTCGCTCTCTCTCTCCTGGCTGTCTCTCCTCGCTCTCCTGGCTGTCTCTCCTTGCTCTCTCTCCTGGCTGTCTCTCCTTGCTCATCCTCCTGGCTGTCTCTCCTTGCTCATCCTCCTAGCTGTCTCTCCTTGCTCTCTCTCTCCTGGCTGTCTCTCCTTGCTCATCCTCCTGGCTGTCTCTCCTTGCTCATCCTCCTAGCTGTCTCTCCTTGCTCTCTCTCTCCTGGCTGTCTCTCCTTGCTCATCCTCCTGGCTGTCTCTCCTTGCTCATCCTCCTAGCTGTCTCGCCTTGCTCTCTCTCTCTCCTGTCTGTCTCGCCTTGCTCATCCACCTGGCTGTCTCTCCTTGCTCATCCTCCTGGCTGTCTCTCCTTGCTCATCCTCCTGGCTGTCTCTCCTTGCTCATCCTCCTAGCTGTCTCTCCTTGCTCTCTCTCTCCTGGCTGTCTCTCCTTGCTCATCCTCCTGGCTGTCTCTCCTTGCTCATCCTCCTGGCTGTCTCTCCTTTCTTTCTCTCTCCTTGCTGTCTCTCCATGCTCATCCTCCTGGCTGTCTCTCCTTTCTTTCTCTCTCCTTGCTGTCTCTCCTTGCTCCCTCTCCTGGCTGTCTCCCCTTGTTCAACCTCCTGGCTGTCTCTCCTCTCTTTCCTGGCTGTCATTCCTCGTTTATTTCTCCTGGCTTTCTCTCCTTGCTCTCACCTCTCCTGGCTGTCTCTCCTTGCTCCCTCCCCTGGCTGTCTCTCCTTGCTCATCCTCCTGGCTGTCTCTCCTCGTTTTTTTCTCCTGGCTGTCTCTCCTCTCTCTCTTTCCTGGCTGTCTCTACTTGCTCTCTCCCCTGGCTGTCTCTCCTCGCTCTCTCTCCCCTGGCTGTCTTTCATCTCTCTCCTGTCTGTCTCTCCCCGCTCACCTTGCTGTATTTTGCAACAGGCTGTGTAAACTAATATTCTTTGATGTAATACATAGCAGCACTTCAACCACCAGAATCCACCAGAAAGGTGTCAGGGAGCTTGGCTCAGCAGACTCGGGCTAATAGGTAATCATGTGTGCACAGCTAAATAAATATACCAAAATGGAATAAAGGGGCCGCCATTCACACCCTTCGTGATCTACCAGCATCAGCTTTGAGAGCTACTGGTAGATCATGATCTACCTAATGGGCACCCCTGCCCTAGGTGATAGTTTGGAGATGACAGGTTCTCTTCATGGAACCTGCCCTCTAACACAGAACAGATCTTCTGTGCAGTTTCTCACAGCAGAGACAGGTGGCGCTGTGATAACAGCACTCCTATCTCACTGATCACAGAGAGCAGAGCGGAGAATGGACGTTCTTCGCTCTGCTCCCCGCTTTCCATCCTGAGCTCATTTGCCATGGCCCCGGGTCCCCCAGACTGCCCCTCCTATTAGATTGTAAGCTCTCATGAGCAGGGCCCTCCTAACCCTCCTGTATTAAAACTGTATTATAACTGTACTGTCTCCCTCTATTTTGTAATTTGCTGCCAAAACTGTTGGCGCTATATAAATCCTGCATAATAATAACTCCTCCCAAGAGCCAGCCCATGCTTGCATGAGAGCTGAGGGCTCTTGGGAGAAGTACTGAGCTAAGGTGCTGTGATGAGTTCAGGAAGCCATGTACAGCACCCTGCCGGCCCTCCCACCAGCCATAATCTGCCTGCATTGTACAGAGAAGCACATAGACCCAGTGATGATGTCACTGGGTCTAATATAAGGTATGTAATGAAAATGGAAAGATTTTATTTAAAATGTCATTAGCATATTGACGAGGGGGAAAGGAGGGAGCAGGGAAGGCAAAATGTCAGCTTCTACTTGCTATGACTGCCTTTGAAATCCCATCAGGCAAACAGATAACAGACAGGAGAGGATGGAGATTGCTGACATCATATGACACCTAACTCCTGGCAAATATTTGTGGACAGAGTAGTGAAGTGTTCAAATCTTATTTAAATCTACAAAATGAAAACGCAGGTACAGCTAAGGGCCCATTTACATCTGCATTCGAAGAACTCTCAACAATCGCTCTGTCGGACTCATGCAAACAGCTGCAGGCTGAACGAAAAAAATACGCTCAGTGCACGACCAGCTTTAGGCTGGAACTCATTGAACTTGCTCAGCAGGTATATGTACATCAGGACTATAGATGTGACATCATTAGCCAATCCAGTCATCATGCCTACGTTGCCCCCATCCCTCAATATAAAGCATTTGGCACCCTTTGTGCTATATGTGTGTGTGGGTTGGGGGTGGGGGCCATTGATTGATCCAAGTCAGGATCCGTACCATGATCAGTGGCTCCATGGTCACACTGGGACCGGACAAAGCATTGATATGTTGCATACCAACCAGTTTTGTTGCATGTCCTAACATGCATTGTATGTCAAATGCAAAATATATTCATTTATTATATGACAGGTTCCCCTTAGTGCAGAACATATGTAATAAATACAATCGTAAGACTTTACCTTGAGCAGGTAGATGGGAATATTACTGAAATCCACTGGCAGCTTCAGGAGGAAGCGGGCTGAGAATTCCCCGGTCTGAAAAAAACGGAAATACAAGGAAAATCACAATCAGCCCAGGAACTATGACCAAGCATATGAGGTAATGCCGGTACAAATGTACACGTGAATATAATTACATATCATTACCATCGCCCCCATTTTCATAATCGTTTACTGGTTCTGCTTGTTCCACCCAGTTCCTTTTTCCTGGTTTATCAGGCAGTGTAAAAAAAGAAAAAAACATATAGAAGCAGCTCTGGTTACAATATTTACCCTTACAGGGTTATTCACTAAAGGGTGAAGGGTTTGGAGAAGGCCGGAGAAGTGAACAATCTAGGCCAAAGTAGCTGATTTGGAAAAATTCTCCAATTGAACTCGCTTTTCAGTTCAGCCATGTTGTTCTAGATTGTTCACTTCTCCTGCCTTCTCCAAACTCTTCACCCTTTCGTGAATAACCCTGTAAGTCTGAATCTGTTCCCTGCAGTACCCCTTCTCCACCACAAGATGTCCTCTGCCTTTTGGGTTAAATGATGCCCAAGGTCACTCAACCTCGAAGACTGAGGACATACTGTGAGTACAAGGCATCACCTTGGTGCCCGCAATGGGATTCACTGTGTAATGGTGCAGAGATCATTGCTGACGTCATCACATTATCGCCGCTCTCTACATAATTAAGAAGCTGCCTGGAGAACAGGAGCGTTATGACAACATTATCTAAAGATTTTGAAAAAGGTGAGAAAAAAATTACAGCAAAACAGCATAAGATACTGGGGGCCTCCATTGATGGGAGGCAAGAGACTGTAGGGGGAGTACAATCGGACTGTACAAGCTTTGTACATTCTCCTTCAACCAACCTAAACTATCCATTTCATTTGTACTAGGGATACACCGATACCAAGTATTTGGGCGAGTGCATGACATAGTTGTTGGTAAATCTAAAGGTACATTTAGACGGATGCGTATGGTGAACTTTAGGCCCCAAATTGATTAACTGTAGGGTTGCAAAGATAATAGTATTATTGCCATATAATGTAGTGCTGGTATTTTTAGTCCTCTATAGCTAAAGGTATTATTATTAGAAGGATTATATTACAAATCTCAGCATTACATTATACGGCAATGCAAAATAATATGAAGCCACAATCTGTGCACTGCCCTGGGGTACCGGCCTGATGTCTCCAGGGTCCCTTGAGTGTCTTGCGTGCAGGGGCAGGTGGTGGAAGTGCTGTAAGCAGCGTCGCGTGGTTCTCCAGGAAGGAGGGGGAGATGTGCGGGCCAGCGCTGTGTTTCACAGGAGGGCTGCCAAGGTCCACAGCAAGCGCCGGACCTCAGGCAGCTGCTTCAGTTTAAACATTTTAGTACCGGGGCATTTTTACTCGTGAAATTTCCTGGTATCCGTGCATCCCTAATTAACTGAATATGTTGTTATATTAAATGTGTCTGTGCTGTGACTGTTTTAAGTACAGCAGTGGTATAGCAAGGATGCCATCAGTACTGCACTGTCTAACATACAGACATCCTGTAGAGGGAGAATCTGCAGACTGCACATGAAATGCCATCATACACTCTCATGTGGGAATGCAGTTCAACCCAACAGCAATTTACAGCAGGACAGTGAGATAAAAAAATCTGCATACAATAAAAATGTATTAATGATTGCGCACTAATACAATAGAGCCTTTCTTTGGTTTCAAGTATCATTCCCAGCATGCAGTGCAGCACGTGCGGCCAAACTCATAGCAACTTATTTACCATACCAGGAAACTGCACCCTTCTTACAACTTTAAATGAGATTTTGGGAAACCCCCCCAGTGAAAGTGTATCCTTGTGCACAATAAATACTAGCTATTTCCTCATCCAGTCCATCATAATTACTGCATGATTAATTATTTCCTCACTTTGCATAAAACACTTCAGTCTGGCGTTAGGAAGTTGACCTCTACCATAGTAAGGTTCTGAGATGGAGAGAAGGGTATACAGACAGCGCCATCAGCTGGTGGTTTATGGCAGTGCAGGCGGATCATCAGATCTACATTACAGACAGCATGTTCTATCAGACGTTTATGAAGGTTGCCACTACTGAAAACTCTAGCTTTAGTTAGTCATTAACCTGAACAAGTAAGCCGCCAGTGAAGTGAGAATAAAGTCAGAGCGCTTACTTTGCACACTTGTTTAAGGTCAATGAGAGACAGGCATTTAGCATTTTTAAATACGGACTAGAGACAGTACTTTGCTCATACTGGACAAGTCCCCGGAAGCAGGCAACTAACATCACTAAATTACCCCTGCAATCCACTTTTCTGTTATTTCAACACGGTCAAAGGAAACATTCTGCAGATCTCTTTAAAGGGCCACTGTACCCGAAACTGATATTAAAAAAAGAACTCCAGGAAAACATTTGCTTAAAAGATAACTACTGGGTAACCTTTTTTTCCCCCATAGTTCTCTTTAGGGCCACAGGAGGACATATACTAACCTCCTCCCGTGACCCAAAGCTCAGTATATAACGGGCTATTGCCTTTATATAATGAGAGCGCCGCAGCCGGGACGGATCCTAACAATACTGTTGAGATCCACCCAGCTGGATGATTGACAGCGGGCTCTGCCTATCTAGAGGCAGAGCCAGCTGTGCCCGCCCCTCCCCGTCCGTTCCTCCACTCAGCACTGGAGAAATGGAGAAGGTGGGGAGGAATTCTTGCAGTGAGTGGTGACTAAAAGTCACCGCTCTCTGCAGGGAGATGATCGGGAAGTTTTCACTCACTTTTAATGTCGGCTCTAACTATGGGGATGCGTGTAAATCACTCACCCCTTAGTTCTACTTTAACCCTTGCAAGGGGGCTACCCCCGCACTGGAAGGGTTAAGTCTCTAGGTCCAAAAATAACAAAATTATACTAACTGCGGGGGTAGCCCTACTGCAAAGGTTAAGAAAATGTTTCCCTGGAGTTCTGATTTAAAGCGAACGCTTTTAAATGTAAAAAAAAACATCAATGGAAAGGAAAAACACTGCAAGCACAGTTGATTTTTCTGTGCTTCACCTGCAATGTTTTTTAAGTTGGTGACAGGGTCTCTTTAAAATAATTCTGCATGGATTATGTTGTGGCAGTGCGTGGCAATGCCACTATGTAGAATGGCAAAAGAGTCACCCAGATGGGCTGAGCAGTTCCAGGACAGAAATACTTTTACCAGGAAGGAGCTGGATTTGAAATTCTTTCCGGGTTTTCTAAATTATAACTGGGATCCCGGAACTGGGAGATTTCTAAGAGAACTGGGAGGGATGAGATCTCCAGTCCTGGGTCCGTGGTTTAGTAGGGTTGAGCACCTAATGATTGCACATCTGTGCACAGCCCTTATGGAAAGGGTGCTGGCGGATGTTCAGGGCCCCTCCTGGGAGTCAGGAGAACTCCACCAAGGAGTCAGAGTGGAGGCCAGTGCAGCAGGGAGCTGCGGGGTTGTGAGACCTATTGTGCAGGTTAGCACAAGACCGTCTGGAGGAACAGACAGTGGCCTGAGGCCGGAGCAGCAGTGCTGTGAATGCAAAGACAGGAGGCTGGATGTGCCTGTATTTCTGTGATAAAGAACCCCTGCGAGGGTAATCACATAGTTTTGTGAATGTTCATTTAATAAAAGTGGGCAAGGAAGCCCTTAAAGAAACCTGTGTGAGTGCTCTGTGAGCTCCCCAATGTGTTTAGTGTTGTGTTCTATGGCGTAGTCAGTCACGATAACCTTGCAGACCGGAGGTGCCGATTTCATGAAGAGAGTTTGTTCTCACCCAGTTGTTCTTTTTCCCGGCGTAGATCTCCATACTCTCTCCATACTGCGGATCCTCCAGCAGAGTCTGATACTCGAACATGAGGCGGGAGCTCTCGCTGAGCCGGCTGCACTGGTACTGGTGATACTGCTGCACCAGTTCCTTCACCACCTGCAGGAGGCACTCTGGGTTTGACGGGTCCCACTCTGCCAAACTCTGGAACCAGAAAATAATACGTCATGATTACTCAGAGGAAAAGGGTCACAATACTCAACAAAATTAGTTCAGAAATCTCTACAAAATTAAGGGAATTCCCCTTGAAGACAGCTGACCGGGGACAAGTGTCCCTCGTCTCTTTTTCTTGTGACAAGTCCAAAATGTAAGATTTGCCATCACTTTGTAACTCACCAGGGCAAAAATAAAAGAGGGTGACTCTATCTAGCAGGACACAAACAGCAATTTGAAAGCCGGGCCAAGGGGTAGGCAGAAGAAGTAGCTGCCTTGGGTGCTTCAACAGGAAGGACTTTGCATATAGATGTCACCAGCACGCCGAGACTCTCAAGCCAGTGCAAATCCATTTATTATTAGATGCCACTCAGAATATCAAGCACTTTCGGGGGCCACACAGGGCCCCCTTCATCAGGCTCAGAGTAGACACTGTCATCAATGCCTACTCTGAGTCTGATGAAGGGTACCCTGTGTGGCCCCGAAAGCTCTTGATATTCTGAGTGGCATCTATTAATAAATGGATTTGCACTGACTTGAGAATTTCGGCATGCTGGTGACATCTATATTCAGTTGTAACATGTGCGGCGCCATCCGCGATCATTTCAAGCACCCATCAATATCTTGGGATTTCCGGTAAGGAGTGCTACAGGATCTATGGACTTTTCAACAGGAAGGAGGCACAGATAAGGCAACACCTGAAACCCATGCCGCTAAAGTAGTTCACAACCCACTTGCATTTTGCACCCAATTAAAAAAGACAAAGGGACCTTGTCCTGACACTGAGGGGATCTGATCCTTCCACACTATCAAAAAAACCAAACAAAAGTTGGGTTTTCATACACTTTCACTATCAAAACAACAGACCCAGCACTTGATTTTTGCATTATGTGAGTATAACAATTTATTTATTTTTTTAATCTAGACACAAATGAGCATTAAGCCCTTGTGGTGTGGGGGTAGACCCACAGCAGGGGGTTAATACATTATCCTGGAGCCCTTCTTTAAATGTGTTCAGTAGATGTTGGAGAGTTAAAGAAGAACTAACCCTTCTCTACTAATTGCTACCGTGTTTCCCCGAAAGTAAGACCTACCCCAAAAAAAAGGCCTAGCGCTATCTTCGGGGATTTCTGTAATATCAGACCTACCCCGAAAATAAGACCTAGTTCGGTGGTAGGTCTTATATTACAGACATTCCTGAAGATAGCTCTAGGTCTTAGCTTCGGGGTAGCTGCCCACCTGTCTGTTGCTCTCTGGATGTGGCTCTCTGGATGGCATCAGAGCGGAGAGGCAGATCCCTCCCGCCCCCCTGCCAGACACGCCACCCCGCCCGCACGCATGCCCGCCCACCTGTTTGTGGCTCCCTGGACGGCAGAGCGGACAGCTGCAGCCAGGTAAGACATCCCGCCAAAAATAAGACCTAGTGTCTTTTTTCAAGAAAATAAAATAAAATAAGACACTGTCTTATTTTCTGAATCTAGGTGTAATGCAAAGTAGGCCTCATTCGTCTGTGTAGTATGCCTATGTTGGGTGAATTTGTAAGTCCAATACTAAGGCAGCCAAATACAGCAGAGGTGGCCCAGTTGGTCTGCTGAACTGCTGTTCTATATCCTCATAGCTGCATATCTACAGTGTGCGATCATCTAAGACACTGCTGCCTCGGTCTCACCAAATTTGAGGTGAGATTTGGTGATGTCACTTCTGTGCTGCTCGCTGTTCCCGCTGCTGGAGAGGAAGCTGTACCTGACATTAGTGCCTGCGTTCCGGTCCAGTGCGATCTGCAAAAAATGCTGCAAACACTATTTTTTGCAGATCGCACTAGACCGTAACGCAGCCACTAATGTGCCACGCATTCGGGTGCCGGCGATCGCACCGCGGACGGGGCTGCGGTGCCATTGAGTTCAATGCACCGCCACACCCCCTCTCGCCCCCCAAAAAACTGAGCCGGACGGGTTGCGTTCCAGTGCATTCCAGAGGCTGAACGCACTGGAACAAACTCTTGATGGTGTGACTGGGCCCTCAGAGATGATTTGAGGATCTACAGCCGAGTAATACACAAATAAGATACATTGTTGTTAATAGTTAAAGTGATATTAAAGCCAAATTTTTTTTTATTTCTCCTTTAAGGAGACCCTCCTTTGCTGGAGGATGATGTGTTTTTTCTTTAAAAGTACATCATTCCACGTTTTCTAGTGGGTCCCCGCCATGCTCTTTCCCCCGCCCACTGCACGGGTGCCACCATTGCTCTAAAGGAGGCACACGTGCCCACAGCAACTATGTACATCCATAGACACACAGAGCCCTGTGGCAGGCCACGCCCCTTCCCTCTTTGATTGATGGCAGAAGGTGCCTATGCCATCAGTATCCGCCCCCGCAACCCGGAATTTCGGGGTACAGAGGATCGCTTCGGGACCGGCGGCGGGGACGACCGCAGCTGACAGGTACGTGTGGGGGGGACTGGGGTAGAAAAAAGGTGCTGGGCTGTTTTTAACCTAATGCAGTGAATGCAATAAGGTAAAAAACGCCCAGACCTTAATGCTACTTTAAGGTACTTGAATGCATTTTTAAGATGCTACATGATTATAAGCAGGAGAATGGAAATGATACGATGAAAGGATAACATAACATAAAGGTGACATATTAAATTGTCTGAATATTAAAAAATGGGGATGAAAACCAGATAGAGTTGTAGGTTCCACCCTCTCAATCGCTGCGTGGTAATCTCTTGTACACATGTGGGAGATTTAGTGACTCACTGCCTAATAGTCCTGTGAGCGTATTCCTGTTATCTCGGAGATCTCTGGATGGTTATGTGTAGATAAGAATTCTCTACATTCGGCAGAAGGCTGCAGAGGTGGCAGGATATAGGTGGACGCCGGCACTTCCAGAGTAAACTGACGTCTGTTCAAAGTAAAGTTCAGAAAGCAGAAGTGGTGCTGTATGTTCTATTAAAAGAAGATGAGGACCACAGTCCAGAATACAGTCTATGAAAGGAAACCTGTCAGCTATCTGCTATCTAGATCAGTCATGCCACCAGCGGATGTGAATTTCCGGGGCAGAGTACACCTGTGGGCACCATGCACAGTGATCTGCATGCTCCAGAATAAAAATCAACGTTGGAGAGTCAGGGAGTAGAAGACTCCTGCCGTGCCTTAGCTGTTTCAGGGCTTGTTTCCACCATCAGCAGACCAGTTCTGGATGATTTTTTGCAAACGCAGTTGCATGTGTTTTAACGTGTTTTTGACGCGTTCAAGTGCGTTTCTTTTTTTTTTATTATGCAGATTATGTCTCTGAGGTCATTTCCTGCTTCTTCTCAACTTTTCACATGTTTGTGACCTTCACAGGAACACAGCAATTGAGCAAACATGGAGCCATGGAATGCAGGCATTGTCTTGCCACCGTGTGTGATGATAATAGGTGTTTGGGGTCATAGAGCTCAGGACATTCTTGTACATAGAATACAAACCTATCTGTGTCCGCATGTTTGTCCACCATGCTTGCAGGACACAGAGGACACAGCCAAAGTCACCAATGTTCAGGTGAAAACGCCCCTTTTCCATAAAGGAAGTGTACAATGTTCAATGTTGAATTGAGAAAGCTGGTTGGGTGACCAGTGAAAAGTCTTCAAGAAAAATACAGCAAGTCCAGTTGCCTTGACTTCTTTATTACAGATATACCATGACCTGGATGAATGAGAACCTTCACAGACACAATGTTGATCAGGTTATCAAAGGTGACCAGTAGTGTTTTTTTTTTTTTACTTGCATTCCGGTGCGTTCTTTGCGCCTTTAGTTGCGTTCCAGACGAGAACAAAGTACTGTGTTTGCAGTACTTTTTTTGAAAGCACTGGAACTGACTGCACTGGTGGGAACTACAGCCTTGGTGATGCATTTCTGGTACGTTTAAAAAACCTTATGGTCATGTTCTGGCCTGGCGATGGTGGAAACAAGCCCTCAGGCAACTGCCCTTTAGACTGGGTCTCTTTGGTGGTGGTTTAGTGGTTAGCACTTCTGCCTTGCAGCACTGGGGTCCCCGATTCGAATCCTGGCCAGGACACTGTCTGAAGGGAATTTTCATGTACTCCATGTGCTTGAGTAGATTTCCACTGAGGAGCCCGGTTTCCTCCCACACACCAAAGACATGCTGCATGGTTAATATGGTTCGTGCCAAAAACGGGCCCTTGTGTGTGGGATATAGGGATTGTGCCGGGGACCCAGATTGTAGGATGTCAACTGCAGATGTCCCATATTGGCATTAGTTGGGCTCCTTAATCTCCTCTAGGCACATCATTTACATGGGCAAGTGTGATTTGTTTGCTCACTATTCCCTCCTATGATCCCTTCCCGCCTTTTGGCCGTGGCATGCTGTTGCCCCTCTTTTTGTCCGGCCCCCAGCATCTAGAGGCTTTTTACCTGCAGCTGTCCACACATCCTTCCCCTGAAGAAACCGAGCAGGGTGAAACGCATTGGGAATGTACTGGATATCCCCAAGCAAATGTTGATGGGCTGTTGATTTATATTGCAGCATAATTATGGATTAGAGATAGTCTGTAATAATTGGGGGTTCTTCATTCTGGACCTGCATTGCGGGTAACTTTTGCAGGCAACATTATTGTTTTTATGGTTAGCAACTTAATTTTACACAATAAAAATTGGGTGCAAATTTACTACTGTTTATGTGTTGAACCTTTTCCACACCAGGAAAGCCCTGCTCTTTATTGTGTGCTACTTTTCTAGCATTCATGATATTAAGAAAAATCCTTGTGGCACATTTGATATTTATTGCATCAAGATCCAGTATGAAAGATCAAAGGGGAAAAACTATTTAATTACTAGAAGTCAATGTAAAGAATATTTTTTTCTAAACCATAATTTCAGGGGCCCGGAGGGCCGCACAATAACTGCTAGAGGGCCGCGGGATGGGCACCAGGACTAAGCAGTGCACAATGTTTCATGTCAGAGAATAAGAAAGTCTTTTGTTTCAGAGGCAGC